TCCATATCATCCCTGCCAAAGGGAAGTGATTCCTCAACTTCAATCACGCCCTGCAGAGAGCCACTGCTCATTGACCGACTGCCAAGGTGTGGACGCCTAGCAATCCTGGGCATGCCACAAGTGATCACAAATTCAAAGTCCTGGGACCCCATATTTGGAGGGTGTGAGGGAAAGAAGTGCAAACATGCTACAGTAATTTGAACGACCCAGTTTCAGAGCTGAGCGCTGCTTGCGAAGCTTGTTCACATGCCCTTGCAGTTCCCTCATCCGCTGGAGTTCATCCTCAGGCTGTGGGTTCAACTCTGCTTCAGGCACGCTTGCCAAGAGCATCTCGCAGAGCCAGTTGTTCAGTAGAGGCACATTCAAAAAGCGGCTGGGAGTCTGCTGGCGGCAGAGCAACAGTACCCATCTCAGCTGCATTGCCACCCTCCTCCTCCAAGTCCAAGTCATCGTCATCGTCAAGAATGATCAAAGCATCGAGAGAGTCACCACCATGAGCAGATGCAGCAGCACCAGCTGCGCCTTCATCCCCATTTGTATCAGCAGCCACTATGCTTTCCGCAGGCCTTCCATCCTCCAAAGGCTTCAGCGCTGGCTCATCTCCATCATCCTGCATAGGTGATGGACAGGTCACAGGTGGCCACAAGGAAAGGGCTGGTTGTCCACTACTTTAGTTGTATACTCTATTCGACTCTAGTTGAAAAAGGTTCTTGTATGCTGGAGTTAGCCCAGTCCAGCTGAGGGAAGACTGCCGACATCAAAGAGCGGAAGCGAGGCTCCCTTGGAACTTGGCCACGCTGCAGCTTGCGCTTCACCAGGATGCACATCTTCTTTGCCACCCATGCATCCAACTTCACCGAATCCTTGTCCACTGGTTTCTCAACCAGGCTATGAAGTCGGCACAGCCTTAGAGAGATGAGAGACATGAAAGGGTTTGAGAGGTGCTACGCCCACACCAACACTAGTGAAAAAGCCAAAAGTCAGAGATGGACAAATCCAAGTGGCTCAGCTTCCAGATCTGGAATGGTAACCATGTGAACATTCCCATCTTCATCAGCCAGGCGCTGCAAAAGTGGAAGCAGCGTATCGACATTGACTGAAGCTGTCTTGACATTGATGGAAACAGTCTCCCCTGGGGCTGTTGGTTTGAAGATGGAACCCGATGATCGCAGCATTTTGCGAACCTCGCCCACTTGCTCCCACTCTTCACCAAGGCCTTCAATGTTAGCCTTTCTCTCTTCAGCCATTGCACTAGACTAGACCGGCGTGACCAAAATCAGTGAGCAGTAAGCCACAAAAAGCACTGGAAAAGAACATGCACAATTGGTTGTTGCTGAGCCCCGAATGAGCCAATCAAGGTCATTGGTCTTTAGATTCTGTTGAGTATTCTTGGAAGAGAAAGAGAAAGGATACAACAATCCACCAAAACCAACCCTACACTTCTCCCTTTTTTTGGTTTGTGGTTGTTTGAGGAAAAGATTCCTGGAGTGAAGTTTGTGAACATGATTGGATTGGCCACTTGATCCAATCAATCCATCATTGGGTTTCTGTTTCTTTAGGTTAAATGCTTACTTCTTACTCCCCTTTGCTCACTTCATCCAGAGATCCCTGCTAACCGCCGGGCTGAGGCCCCTGGCATGCTGGATCGAAGATCGATGCCAGCCCGGAACAAAAAAAGGGCAGCCCTTGCAGCCCTTCTGCGGGGAGGATGGCAGAAGTGGAGGTTGGTTACCCCTTCATCACTACCAACTTTGAGGGTAACATCTTGTGTTGATCAAGGGTTTGTTGACCTTCATTGAAAGTACGCCCCTATGGCAAAGTACGCCCTTTTCATGAAAAGGCAGGATTTGACATCAAGAACGCAGCTTTATTGAAAGGCATTCAAAAAGGAAGGTCTGTGGAGACCCAGGTATATATTATAGTCATCCTGGAGTAGGTAGAATATGTATATATATATAGGAAAGTCCAAAACACTATATTATGAGACTGGTCCTGCTTTTGCTTCATACTCTATCAACTTCAGCATGGATGTCCAGATATTCTTTTTGATGGCTCACAATCCGATCGAAATCCCGGCTGTATCCATATGTGGTCTCCGCGAAAGGACAATGAAATTGCTCCATGGCCACCGTGACGAGGAGGTGAAATGCCGAAAGCGACGGAGCCGACACAAATCAGAACTGCCCACCGCCTTCGAAGAGAAGGGCCCAGTGCTCCCAAATTAGGGCCTCAGGGTAATAGATGATGTTTGTACATGTATATATAATGCATATATATGTATATACATCTATATGCATATATATTTATGCATACATACAGATCCTACCTTGAAGAAATCATGGAAGACTGGCACCAGAGAAAGGATCCTGCAGGTCCGCAACTAAACTGATTAATAAAGGGAATCCTCATAGAAACTGAGGAGACCTTCTTAAGAGTTTAAGTTGTAGACATTAGAATTGCATACCATTAGCGGCTTCAAGACCCAGTACAGTTGACAGTTGTTTTTGTTGATTCGTTCTCATTCTGCAATATACTGTAGGCGCGCATAGGCTTATTACACATTACACGGACAAAATAGGTTTACACCGTTGCAGGATTCTCGCAAAACAGGTTGGCTTGATGCTTCACAAAACAGCCATGAAAGTAACATCAACCATCAATGCAATGTCGCAAGCTGGGGAACAAGCACATGAGTTCTGCGAAGTAAGAGAGGACTCTCCTCGATTTGGCCAATACAGTAAGTTTATGCGAGCCTTCCTTCCAGGTAGGTTAATATACTGTAGTTCAAAATTACTCCAACCCATAGGACCAATAAGCATTTCAAGATATTTCAGGCACCTATTGCGACTTGAACTGTTTTGCTTTCCATTTTTGCAAGGGACGGACATTGCTTCTCGGTGGGAGAACTCCGGCACACCACCTGCCGTCTGAGTGAGGCCTTCGACATTGGGCCAAGTCGCTAAGACACTTGGCAGATGTCACAAGATTGTGTCCAAGAATGCCAAACAAATCTCACTGTGCTTGTGTCAAGAGATTGAATCTATTTAGTTTTGAACTGTCCATGATTCTCAAAGTGCTGGGCTCGCTTTCCAGTCCGGAAACCCATGTTTACGATCACCCGACCACAACACGGGCTGAGCTACGTGCTGTGGATCCACAGCACTTTCATCCGACGTACGGCTTCAACGAACTGGGGGGGTGCACCGGGCCCCTTCGCGAGAGGGCCGTTTTCCTTCGAATGAAAACGAGGGTCATGTGATGTTGTGATGATTTATCGCTACTAGTTACCAAGAAGCTACTAGGTGCAGGCCCAGCCATGGTCGTGTGACGTTGTGAGGATTGATGTGGGTTTCTTGTTGGGGATCTCGCTAGAGCGAGGATGATTGATCTCGCAGCTCCTATGGAATCGGGTTGGAGCAGTATCCATATTCTCCTGGCCTATTTGGCCTTGCAAACTCATTTGTCGCCTTTGCTCCCAGTTCCGGGGAAGACCAACTGTCAGTTGTTTGATAAGAAACACCTGCCTGTATTTGTGTTATCTTTGCACATATGTCAGACATCTACTTACAGTACACCTGTCGTCACACCCAGCTGGCAAGGCCAACAATGTTTGGAACTTCCCATCATGTCGACGACCAATCTAGAGATGACCAAAAAGCATGGACCGTCTACCATTCCTCAGGCTCTAGCACTAAATCACCAGACAACTTCACAATTCTCATTTGTCTCAGAAATACATTTGAAGAAACTCACGGGTCATAGTACCAAGATTTCGCGTTGAAGATTCTGAGCTGAACCACTTCGAATCCGCAGTGAGTGCTGCGTTTCTTGGCACAAGGGCCTGTGCCCCGTTGAGAGAGATCATTGGGGTCAGAGAGCTAGGCCGCTCTTTCGCCATCGGCTGGACGCGCGAATCGAATCTCAGACCAGTGCACAAGTTGCCGTGAAGGCTGGGAGTTGCAGCGAAAGAGATGTGGAACAGGATGAAACAAAAGCACCGTCTCGGGGCTGGGATTTTCCGGTTACAGCTCACGGCATGGGTCAACCGCAACAGATGAAGTCGATGAGGAATATGAGGACCATGCAGACTGACGGGATGACCGGGCAGAAGGGTGAATGGGGTCTCAAGGATTGATGAGATGTAGGCTCTGCAAGACGACCTGCGACATCTCTTGGAATGTGGTGAGATTTATGACTTTGACAAGGGCTCATGAACAAAGCACCATTGGATGATTCCGGGGTGCGCAAGTTGGGTGTTCTGTGCAGTTGGGTGACACTCACTTGACCTCTCTATCCCCCCCAAGTGCTGGGAGCTCATTGTCTGAGTGTTTGAGGGGTCCTTTCTGAAGTGTATCACATCGACATAGCCTTTTCCGAATAGAACACGAAGAACCGGGGCTGTCGCATTTGTTTGGAGCTTCAGGTTGTTTAAGTCTTTCGGGCGCATAAAACCACATGAAATCCTTTGTGTTTGGTGAGAATTTCAGAACTTCAGCTTCGAACTGCTACTATTGGCAATGAAACACAAAGGATAGCAGTCCTTTTTCTTAGTAGTTTGTGTGACACTTGGTCCTGCAACAACTGCAAGTTGCGCCCTTGTGCCCAAGCAGATGGCAACTACGATCAACTACGCATTATACATAGTTAAACAGAAATACAAAGTTGACAAGTACTCACAGATGGGAAGCTGTAGTAAGCAAATCTGGGTAGTGCTGGTGGACAACTGAGCAACAGGTGTGGCTGGTGGGCATACCAAGTTAATGTGGTATGGCAGATATGTTATTTATATATATATATATGTATCTTCCAGCGCTCCCAAAACAGCACAACAACAGTGCACTACAGCAGTTCGTTAGGCCCATAGGGCCCACCATTGAAGTATTGTTTCGCCTCCAGTTCATTGAGTGGTGAGACTTTCCTCAGCTCTTCCTGTGAAGTCGGATTTCATAAGATCTCCAGTCTGCCCGCCTCATTGGCGGCGTTTCGCAGCGAAACTCGCCATGTCGTCGGCTTCGCTGGGTCAGTTGAAGTACACCTACACACAGGTGGTGGAGACTACACTGCAGGCGCGGATGATGAGAATCTGAAACAGGATGTTATGACCTACAATACGCCCTGGAAGATTAACTGATGAACATGGAACCTGAAAATCACTGGGTCCATGTTAATCTTCCCGGGTGTACTTCAAAAAGACCATAAATAGATGATGCAGTGATGCAGCTTTAAAAGAACAACGGTCACCCCCGGACCCGACCTGCGCGGTTGCTTGCTCCGCTAGCTTTGCGACGTGTCCGACCTACCGGCAGCCACACTGCTGGCGCTGGCGGAACGCTGGCGAAGCGTGCTGGCGAGGCGACAAGTCGTTGGTTGGGGCATTTTGGATGGGTTTGGTGGGGGTTCACTTGGTTGGTTGAAGTGCCTTCCTTTCAAAAGAAATCCTAAAGAACCTCCTTCAAGAAGATGGCATTTGCAAACCATGGGTTTTCAAACAAATAAGTTTGTTGACGAAAACGGGCTCGATAATCCAGGTTGCATGTTTCCTCCAAAGGAGTTCGGATAGCGTGATGTGGAGTGGTTGTTCCACCGTTGGTGGTGAAGCATAACTTTACAATAGTTCATATGTTTTGTTTTCTTCAATTTATTACTTGATCGTTTGATTGTTTCTGGTTTAACATCGCCCATGATACTGGTGTGATTTCCAAGCAACATATTTGATTCATGTGGTTTGAGCCTTTGCAACTTCTTACCCGCTTTGACAAACTCTTGAGGTGTCAGAACTCAAGAAGGGTGATACTGCTTGAATCTCACCTCTAATATATGTGTTTTTGTGTCTTTCGTGGATAAAAGCACTTTTGAACTGTTCAGGTCAAATTTCCAATGGAATGTTGCAGTTGTACCTGAGATGGTGAAACATACTGCTTCTTCAGTGTTTGATGTAACTATCCCGAGGCGATGAAACATTCTGAACCATCATCTTAGCCGAAGATAGATCACTGCCATCCTCGTCAACGGTGGTTGTTGGTGGGGTGAATACATGGAGTACTTAGCTGCTTAACCCGGACCACTTCTTATTCCAGCGGAACTTTGCTCTACATAATGCGGAACTTCCTGCAAGCTCTCTTGGAAGTTTGGCACAGGAATAATGAGCTTCCCAGCTTCCCATTGGCACAGATGGACAGTGATACAAGCAACCACACACGAGATGGACATTCTTTGCTTCCATGTTTCCATGTCAATTGGTTAGGAAGCAACAAGAAAGTGGAAGAATCTAGAGAAGCCTGAAAAGCCGAAAACAGTCATCGACAAAGGCTCAATCTAGTTCCCGGACCAGACTAGACCTGCTGATCAAACGACGTTTAAGGTACCAGGGTCCGCATGGACTGGGTGTGGCGTCGGAACCATCTTGGATGAGTCTGTCTATTTGTGGAAGAAATTGTGCCAAGATGTATGACCAAATCCGTGACACTGCCAAGGATCATGCGTTTTTTTTGCTTGAGAGGGTCACCAGGAGGGCCACCAGGTCTCACTACCCGTTCAGAACAACTGTGAGGAATGGTCCATGTTTTGATGCTCCACCTGCTCCGCCGGAGCATCCGCCTGCGAAACCGCCGGTAGGCGTCTCCTGGAGATGCAGGAGAAGGTCGGAGCCTGTGCCGGCGGGCTCGTCCTTGTCGAGACTCGTTTCTGGCCAAGTGGGACTGGAGGAGATTGGTGGAGTGCAGATTGGTAGAGTGCTGATTGGTCGGGTGTCCACCTGATGTGCGGGTTTGTGCCAAGATTGCTGGTGTGAGAAACACCTTCAACACAACAGGTACCTTTTGACAACATCTCAGACACATGGACCTGAGGCAAAGCCAAAGATCTCCAAAGTTCTCACCAACTTAGCAAACAGTTGTTCAGGGAAGATCCCAGTAGTTTCTTGATGAGTGAAGCTTGGACCAGGCAAGTTCACTTGCCTCCTCCGTTTGGACCACAGACTGCGGTGCTTTGGACCGTTCGGTCATTGGAACCTTCGGCCGACCGACGTCCAGATGGACGAACTGGGAAGCACTTTTGCTAAGAAGAGAATCCGATGACCATGGTTACCACTTTTGCTACTAGTAGTTAGGGCATCGCTGCGAAGGGGGCAAGAAGCTACGAACGTAGCTCCTGGCCTTACTAATTACCAGGAACCAGGTGGAAATCAGGCAAAATCCTGGTTCCAGGATGTTCCAGGCTCCAGTTCTTGATTTGTAGCATATTTATATCCTCGTCCTGGTCCAGCCATTTCATTTGCGTCTTCCGGTTCATTCTGGGTCACCAATGGTTTTATTTGCCACATCTCAGGTTTCGGGGGGCGCTTCCCAATTCTCAGGTATACCATCATCAGTCATACGGAAGTAATACAGACGCCGGGTATTTAGAACAGTTACCTTTGTGAAGCCTTTGGAAGCCTATGCAGGAGGGCCTTGGACCCCCAGAGCAAGTGCATTTGGAGGTGGGGAGGCCAATCCATCGATGGGGACTCGCACATTCAATGCGAACTCCACAGAAGTCCATGGGAAGTCAATGGGACTGGTGGAATATTTAGCTATATGCTAGTATACATAGGGGTGGTTTAGAAGTGTAGAGGAGAGTTAATATGCAGAATAGGGAAGAAAGTTCTGTTTCACAACCTGTGTTAGCATGTGGATGACACTCCGTTTTTGCCAACTACACCATCGGCAGAACCAGTGATGTCCCGCGATCGGTTTTCGAAGAGAGGCGCAAATTGCAGGCTTGTTCAGACGCACGCTTAGGATCGCTTCTATAGGGACTTTAAATAGATTTCGGGGTGGATCACCCCCATACTTAGCCCTGAAACACACATGTTCTTGGTGTTTTTGACAGACGCGGCTGTTCCTTTGGTTGCTTGAGCATGCTTGAGCTTATTCCCCAGAGCCTACAACAGAGTTCTTGTTTTGCTTTGACTGAAGGCAAAGCAGGAGTTCCTGCCCTGAGTAGATTTGGGTTGTCCTTGGAGATCCCTCCAATTCAGGCTTCCGGGCTCCCAACTGGCCTGTGCTGCCCTTCAGTGGTGTCTCACAAAAGATTTGAACTCAACTCTCGCAGAAAACAATCGGGAATTTGTTGTGTCAAGCAGCAGGACAATTCTGGACATGTTTTTCAAGGGTGAGTCCTTAAGAAGTGAACATCAATGTTTGATAGGACATTGGCCATTTCCTCATGACTTCCCTGGAAATTTGGGCTGATGTGTCTGCTCCAAGAAGTAAGAGCTGCGCTGCTCACCCCTTTTGCGGCTTCGGTTCGCGGCTTTCGCCCTGTTGTAACCACAAATCCCTGCCCAGTTGACAACGTTGTTCATAACCAAAATGGCCGGTGGAGCACGTGTAAGGATTCTAATTTGAGTTATATGATCTGTGAGCTCACGAGACCAGGTTTGGGCCGTAGCTCACGTGTTCAACCGCTTTAAGCAACATTCTCATTGCCACCGAGACACGAAGCGAGACATGGCGAGACATGCGGTGACCGGGGTGAGACCTGTCTCCCGACAGGCGCCAGACGTCTCAGTGGTCTTCTCGAGCTATCCCAAGGATGAAGGCGCCGTGCGGCGAACACCGAGCCATAGATCATCGTAGATCAGATGGCCGGATGAGGAAGTTTTTCCTTTCAGGATCCGGATGGATACCAAATACCAAGCAGTGTTGGTTCATGTTTTATCTTCCCCAACGAGCGCAGATGCAGACAAGGTGTTTTGCTGTTTTTTGTTGAACTTGCATTTCTTGATGTATAGATGAATGAATTCCTATATAGGATCCTATACGAGGCTATAGGACTCTAGTTCTGCGTCGTGAGGCTCTTTGCACGGCACTTGTTCGTCGTGGCAATGTTTTTGAGGCACACACCGGTCGACGGCGCGATGCACAGACCTGACGTTTGGACTTTGATTGAGATCCAGATGCGTGATGGGCTGAAGATAGCCAAGGGCACAGCCTTTTTCGGCCTGGAGTCCGCAGTGAAAAGATGTGTTACTTCCGCGAATGCCATTGTTGCAGGGAAGTGGAAGAGGGAGGCCGACCGAATGGCCACCAAAATCAAGATATGAAGAGGATGGGGCATGTGGTGCCAGTATTTGATGCACAAGCTTGGATGTGCGCGAAGTGGGTGATGGTTTATGCAGTAGAAGAAGTACAAGCTGCAGGTTCATGGATTGATCTTCTGCCGGGCATTCTTATGTGAGATGAATGTCCATTGTGGCCATTTTGGCCAAGATCCTGTGCTTCCTGCAGGGCACTGCAGGGCTTCATTGGCTTGAAATAGTGACTGGCCCTTGTGATGCTCTCATGAGACAGACAATAACTCACACATTACATACCATACACTGGCACAGTCCAGTCTCCAAGCATCATGTTTACAAGTCTCCAAGCACCGTTTTCGGCAGATGCTGGTCAGCCACTGAAGTCAGTAGATGAAATCGCCAGATCTTCAAGTTGCACCTTAGGGCCTTTGGCCGACGGCAATGCCGACGGCCGTGACACTTGGAGATGGCCCCTCCGTTTTGGACCATGGCTCCGTTCTCAAAACTGTTCACTGTAGAATCTTTATGAATAAATCCCCAGTTATGAGCAAATGGCAGGGAGGTTATCTCTAAGATTCTACACGAGGGAGGAGCCACGCCAACCGCTGGTCAGCTTCAGTCAGCTTCAGTCAGCTGGGGCGGGACCAGATTTAGGGGGTCAACGGGTCAGCCCCGTTGGGTCACCTTGTAGTTCGCAGCAACAACCGTTGAGGGGATCATTTGTAAACATCGAGAAACAATGGAGTGTGAAGTTAAGATGTTTTTGTTATGTGTATGTGTTTGTGTGTGTCTATTTTTGTTTTGTAAAAGTGCTTGTGGCCTGGCAATTGTTTTTTGTATTCCATGTTCACCTTCTCCCAGCCAGCCCTGGCCCTGGTAAAAGCCGGACTCGCGCACCATCGACGCTGGACTCGATCCTGGATGAGTCCAGGTGACACCTCCGGCTTCACTTTGCTGGGTACCTGTGTCGACATGGTGGTGCCTCCCCCCGCACTCACGGAGGCCTGGGCGGTTAGGACGGTCGAGCACGTGGTTGGTTGGACTGGGACCGGCGCTGGGCGCTCTTAGAATCCTAGAAAGTCATGAACCTATTTTGGTCTTGGTTGCATGGTCGCTTTTCGATGAGTAGATCATTTGAGCGGGGCGTCTATAGTTGGTCCTGTTTTGGTCCGCCAACAGTTTCGGAAGACTGACGCTGGCTGCAACATGAATTGCGGACGGGGGCCTCCAACAAGTTGAACTATGACTGTGAGGAGTTGGCTACCGTTGCGTTAGTCGGTGTCAGTAACAACACCTCAAGCATCCCCAAGCAACAAACATATATATATCTTCATATATTACATAATTATGTTCTAATGTATGTTCTATTATGTTCTATATATCCATTTATGTTTATTCCAAGTCTTTGAAGGGTTTACTTGCTTTGATATACACTGGTCAAAGCCACCCCTGCCACCAGCTCACCTTTGGCACCACAGGCGCAGAGGACCTTTCCAACCGCCCCAGCGCTCAAGAGTGCAGAGGAGAGGGACCAAGTTCGTCGAAAAGCGGTTGTTTGGAGGACGTTCCAGCGGCTTTATTTGGCTTTGTATTTTATCCGACCCTTCTTCCGTTGTGTAAAAATACCCCAGTTTCATAGAGGCTCTTCTGAAATCTTACACTCGAAAAGGTATTATGAGCTGCTCCTAAGAGAGCACTCTGAGTCCCAATTGTCCGGGTCTTTGCGCCAGTGCGGTGGTCACATCCACACTAACCCATTCATAAAGGAACGCACGCCATACGAACATGGAAAAACCTTGTAGCCTTGATTTTTGACATTAGTGGAGCAGGATGTACTGGATGAAACCAACGATCCGTACATATTGGTACCTGGTAACCGCTTGTAGATACAACATGATACAACGCTCTGTGTGGACATTTGCAGGTGGAACACCTTGTCCATTTGGAATTTCTGTGGTATGTTGAAGGTGGAACAAACCTTGTCCGGAAGAAATGGATTGTAATTCCTTTGTTTTCGTCTTCCAGAGTTGCCCCCAAACGCCAATCCAGATGACAAGGATTTTTCGAGGAGCACCTGGACCCCATCCGCACCATTGCACATGGTCAAACCATGGCCTACCAAGTGCCAATGACTGCAGCAAGTCTATTTTGTTGCCATTGCTCAGCAAACTGAGAGTCTTAGCCCGCTAGCTGCACGGCAGCAAGTCCCTGCCTCGATGGTTTTATTTCCAGCCGGAGATCCTCCAGCAACCCAGACATATCCTGACAATTCATGACAGCTTCCTTTTTTCACAACTGTTAGGCAGAAGTGCTGTTAGTTGTGACAAGATCAGCTTTGGGTTCGCTGTGTTATTTTGTCTATCTTTGCGTTTTTACCTTTAAGTATTGTAGATGACACTTTCGGTAGGATCCTTTTTGTAGTTGCAAGAGTCATCCAACTCCCTCTTACAGCCTAGCTGTCAAACCTGCATGAGGTTGGGTCCAGGTCAGGTTGTGGTTCAGTGACGTTGCTGAAAACAAAAGACCAAGGACACTCGAACGCTCCATGTATGGAATACTCGACCTATATATCATATATTTGTAATTTAGTATACTATATAATAATATATACATTGACCCCCGCACCCACTGCGATTGAATATGTCTGAAAGATGCCAGTTCCGGAGACACCAGATGTTGAAACTGGGTGACGCTGCCAGCAACCTTTGGGGTCAGATCTTTCAACGAAGCGTTGGATGTACCCTCCCTCAAACAATCATGGAAGCTGAGCAGACCCTCCTTCTAGAGGACAATTGGTCTTCCAGGGGCCGAACTGTTCCACTTCCATGATTGTTTCAGGGAGTGTATTATGATGCTGTTTCTGTGCGAACCACGCTGCCCCAGAGGTGGAGGTTTGCCTCCCAGCGGTTCTGTGCATGGCCTCCGCCTTCGCAGGATCTTCCAGCCTTGCCCTTTGAACCAGCTCCGGGGACTCCAGCGCCTGGACGCCCTTCGAAGCGAAAACGTCCAGGCAGCGGCAGGGATAGAGTGGGTAGGAGTTTTTTCGAATCGATAGGAGTGTCTAACCGGAAGAGGACACATCAACCAAACCCCTCCTCCGTGTAGTACACGTACACATTTGGCCAGCGGCTTGGTTGCCCAAGACCTTCAAGAAGACTTTGTCCTCAACTTCAGGTGTGTTGGATTGTGCTTTGGCTTGAGCTCGTCATCATGGCCGAAGTAGTAGGAAGGATGACCCCCAAGATATCGGGCTTTGTGGGTGACACTTTTGTCGTGGAAGCTTCATTTTTTCCAAGCTCATGAGCATTCGATTGGTGGCTTGCCCACAGTGCATTGCAGAGTGCATCTCCTGCCTCCAACCAACATCGTTTTGGTAGAAAACGTTCTGGTTGTTTTAAGTGAAAGAAGATGGTTGTCCAAGGTCAACCACAAGGCTCTAGATTGGCCACCAGCTACCAGTTATCGAGTCACCCTGTCCGTCCAGGGAAGGCCTCAAAATCCCTGCAACGAAGCGGTCATCGGGACTCCGGAAAGAAGCCATCCAGACAGAATAATGTACACAAAAACAAAACGATTACGGCAATTACCCCCTGTCAATGTCGATAGACTTAGCTGCAGTGACTGCGATGTCTTTTTGGCTGTTGCAGGTTTGCTGGAGACTTGTTCATGTTAGTGGTTTTGGATTCAACGCCCAACGTTGTGTGAACCAAAAGGGATGGGTTCGGAGATCCGAATCGGGTTTCGCAGACTGAGACAGTTTTCGAAGACAAAGGGTTCAGATGAAACCCGAAACCCGAAGACCGGTGAAGCAGATGTTACCAGATGAAACCCGGTCAGAACATGGGGTAAAGCAAAGTCCTTCGACCTACCAGGAACACCCAGTGCAACAATCTCCCCGGGCACACCGCGACCGCCACCTCTGGCAGTGCTGAATGCACAGCAACTGGGTGGAATACGGTGGGGTAGTTTGCCTATAGACCGAGTCTGCTGGATTTGTCGCTTTGAGAGGCGTTGGCTTAACCGGGAAGGTGACCAGGTGATGTTTCTTCTTGGTTAAGCAGGAAGAGTGAAAGGGCGACCGGTGATGGATTCGAGCTATTCTCACTTGCATTCTCAAGGACAATGTGAAGAAAGGCAGCACTGAACAAGCAAACCATATTTAAAAAAGGCTTGGATGAGATGCATGAGCGGCGTTCATGAACATAGTCTTTTACACACTGAGATCCATGCTCGCAAGAGCTATATCAGTCATGACTTCCACGTTGTCGCTATGTCAACAGGAGTTGACACACACACACACACACACACGCGCACACACGCACACCGGATGTCAAATGATGTGTTCAAACTTCGTTTGGTGACCGAACCTCCCTGCTCAACAAATCGACCAGCCTGCGTATACTCGGGCTATAGGTTGATGATAGGTGTATCCACCAAGCATTGGTGCAGGCACATCACGCGATCGCTCAGAGGTGTGTGTGTGTGTGTGGGTCGAAAAGCATGTTGGGTCAGTAATTAGGGGCCCCTTTGCGAAGGTAGGGGCCCTCACTGGCCCTGTTCACAGCCCAGCTTCGATATGGCAGATATGTTGTTGCTGCAACAGGTGTTCAGAGTGCTTGGGAATGGTCAGAACAAGATCCTCAAAGATGCCCACCTCAACGGTTGTAGTGCAAGCGATGTGTCAACAAGAGCAGGATCGTGATGCACACTTTTCAGATGTTCATATGTCCCATTTCCACACATCAACATACATTCACTGCAATAAGCATGTTTCTCCCACAGTGATTGAAGGAGTAAGGACGGGTGAACGGCGTCTGTGCAAAATCAGAAAACATGTGTCAACTGATTTTATCATGTCTTTCTTCCTTTTCCTGTTCTTTGTTTCTAGTCGCGATAGCCTACAACCTCCCGACGCGGCCTCTCAACGCCCTGAGAACAGACGCCTTTTGTCACCACCGAGGGCGGGACATCTCTCGCCGGTGCTGCAAAGTGTGCAAGAGGACCGACGTATTCTCCGTCCGACGTCCGGAACGGTCGTCGGTCCGTCCGGTGTTTGGAGGGATTGGGATCATTGGGTGACCAAGTACTAGAACTGGAGCAAATATCAGGTAGATGCCTAACGGCTATGTTGGAAAGGCGATAATTTCGCATGTTTTGAGGCCCGTGTTGTTGGTTTACCATGCTCAAATGTGAATTTATGCAGCTCCCAAACAACTTCATTCAACTTCCAAGTTCACTGGTTTTTGGGTTTTTGTGGGTGTGTATCAAAGTATCAAAATAGGGAGACCTCCCAGTTCGACCCCCAGGAAGAAGGGAAATAGACCAGTCTACCCATTGGTTTTTCGGGTCTCCCTAAGAGAATACACACCCTTATAGTGGTGACAGACTGTTTGGATGAGCCGAGATCGAGTCGAATCAATTTGATCACGAATTGAAGAAGCTGCAAAATATAAGTCCACAAGCTGCCGGTTTAGAAGTTATAAATTAGTCTATTCAGAAGTGTTTGTGTGTGTGTCAAGGTTCTAAGTGAGCCTTTAAGAAGACAAACTAGTGGTGACAAGGTGTCAGGCAGCTGGACTATACTTTACTGGAATTGACACGTGCTATGGCTATAGCCTACTTCCAGGAGTGGCTGGACACCAAGAAAGGCCTGAAACAAAAAAGTCACAACAGCACCTGAACCATCCAACTGGATGGTATGTCGATACAGACTGACCGAAGCAAAATTCCGTAGTGCACCTGTTCGTGCCCGAGAAAGGCGTTGCCAAGAAATGACCTGGCGAGTGTCATCGTCGTCTCATTGGGTTTTCCATGCTGGAATCCTGGAATTGGCGGGTGAGGCTTTTTGAGCTTGAAACACTCTTTCTTCTCAATGAGAGGGCCTGCAAGTCACCCCTTACCAACTGTGTGAGTCACATTCCAACTACTACAGTTTCAGAGTAGATGGCGCAGACCCCAAGATGTTCTGAACAGATGGAGGCTCCTTTTCCAATCACCGAACTTGGGGGTAACTTTAGAAGAATCGACTCCACAGTTCGACACCACAGGTGACCTGGTTCATGACCTGGTTCACCTCGTTTGCGAGGGAGGTTCGGACTGATGACTCCAATTCCGATCAGATTACCTCTATATTCGGCTGGAGAAGCTAGTAGTAGCTCCTGGCAGTACTAGCGGCTAGATACTAAGTTGGAGGCCATTGCTACTAGGAACAAGAAGCTACTAATACCGAGAAGCTCCTAGTTGTTTGTGTTGGTTTTTACAATGAATTATTATTATATATTCTTTTCAGGTGAAAATGGATGACCCAGAACGTCCGGTCACCTTTGCTTCCACAAGTGCGGCAAGTGTTCGTATCCACAATTTGAGCATCAACTTCATGACGTAAGTGCCGGCGAACGTTAACATGCCCCACCACCCCACCCCACCCCCATCCCCAACGTAGCATCAACTTCATGACGTAAGTGCCAGCGAACGTTAACATGCCCCACCCCACCCCACCCCCATCCCCAACGTAGCATCAACTTCATGACGTAAGTGCCAGCGAACGTTAACATGCCCCACCCC